CCCCCCCCGCCTCTCCGTCTGTGTCGGGAGGGGTCACCTGGCGTGCCTGTTAGCAGGTAACGCAGGTACAGGAAACGACAGCAGCCAAAATACCTCAGAAACTCACCCAAATAAGCAAACGGTGAGATTCAGCGTTTTATACTGGATTACTTTGGTTAATTCTACGATTCTGTCTGCGTTTCCTTAGCAACTTATAAATGGAAGTGGAGCAGGAGAAGGTGGATTCTGATTGGCTGTTGTCGCGCACATTTCTGCCATGCTTCATCGAGGAAGAGGCTCACAGTTGATCACCATGATCGACCTGAATTTTTTCTCGATCAATAATTGCGATCAAATAATCGCCCAGCCCTAGACTAATAGACAATACACAAGAAACTGATACACAATTATATGAGTTGAGGGGACACTGTTTGATCAAACTTTGAAGTGGAGGTGAACTGGACTGAGCCATTCCATGAGAGGCTTTGTCTACCCTCTCAGATAACATCAAAGTTGCAGAGTGTGTCTCTAAATCTATTTTTTAAATTATTGCTCTTTTTTTCCTGATGTTGGAATTTAGTAAATCCCATTAGAATCACTTCAAAGGTGGCCAAAAAAAAAAGGAAGAAATGTCTTTTAACTAAAGAAAAAATATGTAAACCTTGTTTTCAGTGATAAAAAGATGTGTTGAAAAAAGGTAATTACATGTTTCTGTATTATGTTCACAAAAGAAATCTTTAAAAATGTTAAAAGGGTTCCTGAGAAATGAAACAAAACAGATGCAGTCAGCTGAGCTTATGTTAAAAATCAATTTAAAATACTGTTAAAATCTTCTTCCATTCTTGTGAACCCAGGATCCCATCTTGTCTTGTCTTGTCACACTCCTACAAAACATCTAACAGAACACAGTAAAGACAGCCATTAACAAGTGGAGAAAATATTGGACAACAATAACATAACTTAACGCTTAATGACCCTTTTCAATTGAAGAAAACAATAGAGGAACTTGTCRAACATTGCCAAAAGGTCCACAGCAWCACTGAAAATGCTCTCTTATTCTCAAAGTTGAGAGTARGGTTGCTTGACAGAAGCCTTTTCTTTTCTTACCATAAATAATAAATCAAAGGCCTGACTTTCCTTAATGTCTGTCCTTGCGTGACTTACTGTTAACTCAAGATGGTCGCCACAGCCACAACTTGCTGGATGTTTTAATGCTCCAAGTGTGTGGAGGATGACACTCAGCAGCAGCCACAAAAACTTTACCTGACAATTTGCAATTTTGAGTAAGCTATGGCCATTTTGTGTTGGCAGAAACGGATTGGCTGTTGTTGGCGTCCGAATTTGGGTTGACTCCAAATGTCTGTCAGTTGCAAATTTTGAAAGGAAATAAGGGTAAATATTATCCCATCAAACTACATCATGCTCATAAACTTCCTCCTAAGCAGACTGAAAGCTCCATAAATCAAAAGGTTCTTTAACACAAAGAACTGATACAATACTTCATGCATTATTATGAGAGCAATTTATAAAGTTAGACAGAAAAAAAAACATTAATACACTTGAAGTTACCAAACCAATATCATAAGGGACTACAAGAAATGGTTTCAACATCATTACCAAAAGGTTCAGCTACTCACATAAGAACTAACTGTCTGGAGTAACACATTCTAAATCAGTACTTACTTGAATGACAGAAAATTGGCAGAAAGTTAATAAAGAAATGTAGAACTGTAAATAAATCTAAACATGTGTGACATAAAACAACTCCCTGGAGACAACGCCAATGACTTTAGGAGTCTTCAATGTTAATTTGCTCAGACATATGAGCCCAGACTTCCAAATGCCTTTCCTTTTTTGATCACAACATGTAACCTTCCCCTCTAACAGAATGTTTAGTCAACAGATTAAATAGCCATTCCAGTCAGCCATTAGAGTATTAAGCTATGACTGCCTGATATCTATAATAAAATCCATCCTCTGAAAGAAAATAGCATAATGCATATATATATATATA